TTTTTTGGTTGCAGCCGTCATTGTTGTTTGGCGGGTCCGGGCTGGGGATTTGAACCTGTCACCTTAGGTGTACGTGGCTGGCGCCTTAGCCGGTTGAGCTATAGGCGCCGAGCCTCATAATCTTTTGAATTTAAAGTTACATTTCTGACTTGGCGCCTGTAGCACAGTGGTTACAGTGCCGGCCACATACATCCCAAGCTGGCAGGTTGGAATCCAGCCTGGGCCTGTTAAACAACAATGACAACTGGCACAAAATAATAGTTGGGTGTTGTGGCGGGCACCTGCAGTCTCAGCTACGTAGGAGGCTGAGGCAAGAGAATCACTTAAGCCCAAGAGTTTGAGGTTGCTGTGAGCTGTGATGTTACAGCACTCTACAGAGGGTGACATAGACTCTGTCTCAAAAAATAATAAATAAATAAATAAAGTCACATTTCTTAAATCTCAGGTTAAACTATAATAATTGAATTTTTTTCCTGTGTTGCAATTTCCAAGTCTTTGTACTTCTCCAGGTTCATTTTTAGTGTATTGGTTAAGAGCGTAGACTTAAGAGCCAGAACCCCAGCTTTGACATTGATTAGTAGTTACTTTGGGTAAGACCCTTAAACACTCTGTGCTAATTTCTTCATCTGTAAAACGGGGATGATAATAGTACCAGCCTTGTGGTTGGTATGAGGATTAAAAGAGTAGTGTGTGTGCAGCTCTTAGATAGTGCCAGGTCCACAGTAAGGACTGTGTAAGTATTTGTAGCCATTACTGCTGTTAGCATTGCTATCAGTATTCCAGGGCTGAGTCAGTCTCCTGCCTAGTGTTCATTTCCTTGCTCACTCAAATGTCTCTTCTGTGCCTGTTTTACCCCCTTCCTCCTCTAAGGATTTAAAGAAGAATGTTTCTAATAGTACTTTATAAGTGACATGGCTGAATGATTATCTTCTTTTTAATTTTGGGATCAGATTTTTCTCCAGTAGTGTACTTTTTAAAGCAATAGCTTTATGAAGTCATGCATGTTCTCTAGAGAGAGGAGCTTAGGATTTTAGTTCTCAAATCAGGAGAGTTGGGGTCAAATCCTAGTTCTGTCTGGCTCTTAGGATTTTTGTTGTTCTTTTATTCTCTCATTTTTATCGTTTACTAAATTGAAATAATAATATCTACTTTATAGGTTTGGTATAGGAATTAAATGAAATAATCTGTAAATGTCTGGTACATAATAAACATTCAAAAATATCAGTTTCTTTGCTCTTGAGTTTATCAGTACTGCTTTTGCAAATGTGTGTTCTTCAAAAGAATTGAGAGAGAAAAAATGCCTTTTCTACATTATTGAATTTGTAAAAAATTTTAAAATATTGAGGCAGATAGTTGTATTATGAGCCCCCTAAGGCCAAGATTGCGTTGCTTTATCCTTTAAGACAATTCCAACCTTTTTATCTATTGTGGTACCTAGTTGACATTAGTCTGTCAGGAAATGTTTTTGGATGATTATGATAGAAAAATTAAATGCTTATCAGGTAATAAGAAATGGCTATAACTGTGAGCATAGCACAGATTAAGAAATATGGATGAATGTCAGAGGAGTTAGCCTTTCTTCTGGTGTGGCAGATAACTGAAGGGAGCGTGAGTCTGACGTTTCCCAAATCAAAGAAATTTGTCAGTTTGAAAGAAAAAGGGATTTTGTTTTAATAGCAACTGCTTTTGTTATATTCACATATTAAACTATCCTCATTAAACTATTCATTAGAGGTATGCACCAGTGTAAATATATCTTTGTCTGATAGCATTTTAATAGTGGTTGAGCTCCCCACATCTCCCTGTATGTACAGAGGCATTTAAAATCTTACTTATCTTACTTGGGGTCAGCCCAGAGGCTCACACCTATAATCCCAGCACTTTGGGAAGCCAAGGCTGGAGGATCACTTGAGGCCAGGAGTGCAAGACCAGTCTGAGCAACATAGGGAGACCCTCTCTCTACAAAAAAACAAAAGCATTAGCCAGTTGTAGTGTCATGTGCCTATAATCCTTGCTACTCAGGAGGCTAATGTGGTAGGATTGCTTAAGCTCAGGAGTTTGAGGTTACAACGAGCTATGATCATGCCACTGCACTCCAACCTGGGTGACATAGCAAGATTCTGTCTCATAAATAAGATAAAAAAATAAAATTAAGGGTGGCACCAATTGCTCAAAGGAGTAAGGCGCCAGCCCCATATGCCGGAGGTGGTGGGTTCAAACCCAGCCCCGGCCAAAAAATAATAAAAATAAAAATAAAATAAAATTAAGTTCATGTGTAGTAATTAAGGCCTGCAATCCTAGTTCCCTGGAAGGCTGGATGGGAGGCTCTCTTAAGGTCAAGGGTTCAAGACCAGCCTGAGCAAGAGTAAGACTCTTATCTCTACTAAAAATAGAAAAATTAGGTGGGCATTATGGTAGGTACCTATAGTCCCAGCTATTTGGGAGGCTGAAGCAAGAAGAATGCCTCAGTCCAGGATTTTGATGTTGCCATAAGCTAGCCTGAGGCTCTGGCACTTTAGTCCAGGCAACCAACCAAGACTCTGTCTCAAAAAAAAAAACAAAAACAAATAAAAAAAAGACTTTAAAAATTAAATTAGAATCTTACTCTGGAAACAGATAAACAAGATACATTCTATTGAAACAAAGGTAAAATTAAAATGTAAGAAGTGGTATGAGCTGGATGTGCTATCATGTGCCTATAGTCCGAGCAAGTTGGGAGGCTGGGGTAGGTGGATCACTTGAGCCCAGGAGTTCAAGGCCACCATGAGCTATGATTATGCCATTGTACTCCAGCCTGGGTGACAGAGGGAGACCCTGTCTCTTATAAAAAAGGTGGCATTTCACTTTCTAAGATGTCTTTTACCTTCTAAGATGGTGCTAGGTTGGTGCTAGGTAAAATCCAACCTGCCTTTAGTATTTGTGGTAGATTGGTTCCAGGATACTCTCTCTCCCATTCTACCCCATCAGATACCAAATTGCACAAATGGCTCAAGTCCATGATAGAAATGGCATAGTATTTGCATATAACCTATGTACATTTTCCCATATACTTTAAATCATCTCTGGGTTACTTATAATGCCTAATACTAAGTAAATGATTGTTATACTCTATTGTGCAGGGGTCCTCAAACTTTTTAAACAGGGGGCCAGTTCACTGTCCTTCAGACCGTTGGAGGGCTAGACCGCGGGCCCTGGGACCAGTCGGCTGCTAAGCAGGACAGGCAGCGGCAAAACACCCGGCGGCCCGGATAAATGTCCTGGGTGGGCTGCATGTGGCCTGCGGGCCGTGGTTTGAGGACGCCTGATGTAAGGAATAATAAAGAAAGCCCGTAAATGTTCAGTACAGATTCATTGATCTATTTTTTTCCTGAATATTTTTATTCATGGTTAAATCTGTGGATACAGATACTAATCTGAAGTAAATGGCAGGCACTAGCAGACAGTTACACGATGTGGTAGTCCTGCCCCTTGCTCTTGAGAGAGAGTAGACTGCTCAGGAAGACTTTCTGGGAGATGGGACATCCACATTGAGCCTTGAGAGATTAGTAAGCATCAGCTGAGTGAAAGGCAAAAAGAATAATGTTTGCAAAATTGTTGGCAGACTGAAGAGTGTGGAGCCAATTTTGGGAACTGCAATTAAATTTTTTAGCAGAGGCTTAAGTGAATGTGGGGGAATAGCAGATGAGGTTGCATGTGCAGGTGAGAGCTAGATCGTGTCCATGCTGCAAAGTTTGGACCTTATAGACTAGAGTCAGTTATTGAAAGATTTTAGGCAGAGGAATGTTGTCATCACATTCCTATTTTAGAAAGATAATTCTAGGGCTTTTATAGAAAAAGACTAGAAATCATGAGAG